GTGGCTTTGCACGTCACAGCACTGGTGGGGCTCTGGAGCCTCCCAAAGCTGCTCCACAGCCGGCTCCTCCAGGGGACAGGGCCATGCTTGGAGGGGATGGCAGGACTGGCAATAGGACAAGAGGAAAGGGCCTGTAGAACACACTGAACGAAGTGCTGCTTGCACCAAGCTGACGGGTCTGGGGGCCACCAGCCAGTGCTGTGCCTGAGCAGCAGCACACAGGTGACACAGGGACGAGATGTCCCTCCCCAGAACACCACAACACTTTTTGGGCAGGTTCCCATCCAAGCAAAACACACTCCCAAACCGACCAAGTGAAAGGAAGGCAAGAGGCAGAAGAGGTGCCTAATCCAGGCCTTAGAGAGAGATGATCAGAAATACCTCTGCCCTTCACATCGAGGACTCCTCCTGCTCCAAGCAGTGGGGACAAGGACATCAACCCACACCCCAAAACCAGCACGTCAGTTCCCCAGCTCCTGAAGTCACGCGGCTCACACAGACACTTCAGGCATCCAAAGGCAGCTCTAATCCCACTGCAAACAGCCCGAGCTCTATCACAAGGGGAAGGCAGGTCAGGAGGGCTGACCCCTTCGTTACTTTAATTAGCAAGCAAGAATTCACCCTTGGTGCTAGCCCTGTGCTGTCAGCCAGCCTGGCTGCACGGCCCACGGTGACGCTCCCACCTCCTGACACAGACACCACACATCACACACAGGGAATACAGAAGCTACAGGCTTATGCTGCACATCGTGTGGCACTACAGTCACAACATCCTGAAAGGACAAGGCTCTCCAGCTGCAACAGATGTGGCCTTCTAAGGACCACCCAGCCAGGAGCTCTGCAAAAATACCAGAGGTGCAAGAACTTGCTCATCTGGAAGCGTGTTCAGGAGAATCTGAGGCCACACCTCTGCCTTCCTCATCACAGACATACCTGCTTCCAGATCAAGATGGGAATCGGAGGCAATTCCAGCTGTTCATAGAAACATAGAACCATTTAGGTTGAAAAAGAGCTCAAGCAGATGGTCACAGCACCCACTGCAAGCTGGAGCCTGCCAGCTTGGCAGGACGTGCTTGGCTCCACAGTGGGGATGGTCTCCCTGGAGCCAGCGTGCTGAGCAGGAGAAAGCCCAAAGCAGGAGCCAGGACGCTCCAGAGACCAGCCTGCAGCCAGCTGGAGGGGCAGAGCAGGTAACCCCACCCACCCCTCCGCTCAGGGTCCCCAGATCCATTCCCACTCCAGGATTTTTAGCAGCAGTTGTGCTGCTATTGTACTTTAATCTCTAGAAAAGGGCACACCATACTGATAGCATATTCAAAGTAGGGTTTTTAAAAAAGCATGTCAGCTGTCACGGTAAAATCACTTAATAACACCTGTAAGCCTATTTAAGGGTCTAATGTGATAATAATAGCAATATCCAGCATCTCAGAGCACGACTTGGAGCCTGCAGAGGAATCCAGGTGATGCTGGCCCCGGGGCAGGCAGCCGACTCCCCCAGGACTGGGGGGTCCTGGACGTGCCGGGACCCACCCCCGCACGGGCTGCACACCGAGCCAGTAACAGGGCTGTGCTAATTCACACTCCTGCATATTCATCATGCCCACAATGCAATACAGCCTGAATATTAAACAACAGCTACTCAGGGCAGGAATATCCATCCTTGGCAAAGGCGGCGTTTCGGCGAGCGGAGGGCGGCGGGCGCCAGGCAGAGGGAGGGGGCTGGTGCTTCTCCCTGGACGTGGGTGCTCAGAGAGCTGAGCCAGTGGGTTCCCACAGAATTGTTTTGGGTTGGAAGAGACCCTTCAGATCATTAAGTCCAACCATTAACCCAGCCCTGCCAGGTCCCCACTGCCCCGTGTCCCTCACCCCACATCTCCACGGCTTGGGAACCCCTCCAGGGGTGGGGACTCCACCACTGCCCTGGGCAGCCTGGCACAGCCCTGGACAGCCCTCCAGGGCAAGAAATTGTTCCTCATGTCTCCAGGAGAAGACTCCTGTCCCCTTCCCAACGAGGGCTGCCCACCGCAGTTTTGATTCCAGGCAGGGCTTGTCACCAACACAGCAGCAGTCACCACACAGTGCCAGGAACAGAAAGAGGGAAAAATCCCAATAAAGGAGAAAATGGAGCAGCCACGAGCTCTCCAGAAATGCAGCCATCAGCCAGAGGAGTATCCAGACTCTCACCCTTCTCAGCAGTGAATGCAGCAGTCACCTACAAGTGAAGGCATCTCTAAATAGGGCCCAGGCAGAGCACTGACCTGCTCCATAACCTCCAGCTAAGGGGGGAAAAAGCAAGGCAGAGATAATCAGACCCTGTTGAGGAAACATGAGGACACACTGCAGAAAACATTTTGGGACACAAATATCACAAGGGAAACACACCTAGAAGTTCAAAAAAGAACAGCTTCCCCATCCTGGGAGCCCTGTGATAGACCAGAGGCCATCAGGGCTGTGACAGACCCTAGACCTTGGCCAGAGTCAAGGGTGCAGCCGGGAATGGCCCGAGGAACCTTGGAGAGGAATCGGGGACATGGAGCACAAGACTGCCAGAAAATGCTGCCTAGAGCTGGGGAGAAGGCATGGGAACCAGACTGCAGGACAGAGTGCAAGTTCCAGAGGATTGGGTTACCAAAGCCACAAAGCACAGGGGAAAACTCAGAGTAAAATCTCAGAAAAAATAAGGAAAAAAAGCACACAGGTAGCATGAGGTTGCTGGAAACAGAAGCACCACAGAACAGCTGAGAATAAACAATCTCCACTAGCATCCCGCCCCTGGGCAAGGTTCTGATCCACACGGAGCAAAACCAGCTCATGGGAACCCAAGGGAAGGGAGCAAGGACCAGAAAATGTAACCGAGCACCCCAAAGAGATCCCGCCAGGGGACGGGCCACGAGGCCCCTCCATGAGGCTGCTGGAGCATCACCCCAGGCAGGGAACCCTCTGTGAGGCTGCTGGAGCATCACCCCAGGCAGGGAACCCTCTGTGAGGCTGCTGGAGCATCACCCCAGGCAGGGAACCCTCTGTGAGGCTGCTGGAGCATCACCCCAGGCAGGGAACCCTCTGTGAGGCTGCTGGAGCATCACCCCACGCAGGGAACCCTCTGTGAGGCTGCTGGAGACTTCCCACGGGGTCGGGAGCAGCACCTTCTTTTTTTATTACTAAAACCTATTTGTGCAGAACTGAAAGAGCTCCAGGCTCAGCTCACACCCGTAAAAACATCACAAAGCAGAAGCCTTGGGAAAGGTAAGGGCTTGCAGTGGTTTCAGGACAGAAAAGTGCCCGTTCTGGGAGGAGACCGTGCACAAGGGAGTGAGGTTCCCCTGGAAGAGTTTGTACTGCAGAGAAACAGCAGGAGCACGTGGAGAGGAGAATCAGGATGAAATGGAAATCTAGAAACTGGAAAAGATAACACAGATCTGAGGCATCCAGAGAGGTGCTATAAAGAAAACTATAACACAGAAGTATCTGTATAGTTAACAAGTCTGTTGACGAGGGGGAATAAATCTGTTAAATCACATGACAAGGGTTGACTAGAACATAGATTAGGTTTGACGGGAACATAAATTGGCTTGAAAAACTATGAGGCCACGGCTCAAGGACAGGCATAGATTTGTTTATACTGGAAAGTAGCATTAAGTACTAGATCTCTGCGATTATTCCTCTTCTCCAGAAATAGCACTGAAAATTCAACTGCTAAACCCACCACCTCCCACCAGCCTGCTCAATGGACACCACATCAGCTGCAGAAGAGCCCAGCAAAAGCCACAGCTGGACTCTGCAGATGCTTAAGACCTCATTTTTTCAGTGTTTGGACACAACATGGACCTGTTGGAGCAGGCCCAGAGGAGGCCACGAAAATGATGCAAAGGCTGGAACCCCTCTGCTGAGAGGCCAGGCTGAGAGAGCTGGGCTTGTTCAGCCTGGAAAAGAGAAGGCTCCAGGGAGACCTTATTATTGCCTTCTAGCACTTAAAGGGGGCCTGTAAGAAAGATGGGGACAGACATTTTAGCAGGGTCTGTTGCAACACAACAAGGGGTGATGGTTTTAAACTAAGAGAAATGTAGAGAGAAGGAAGAAATTATTTACTCAAGGTGGTGAGCCCCTGGCCCAGGCTGCCCAGAGAGGTGGTCACTGCCCCATCCCTGGAACCATCCCAGGGGAGGTTGGATGGAGCTCTGAGCACCCTGCTCTAGCTGCAGATGTCCCTGTCCCTGCAGGGGGGTTGCACTAGGTGACCTTTAAAGGTCACTTCCAGCCAAAACCAGCCTATGAGTCTAAGCCAGGGCTGCAGCCACAGGGAGCTCAAACCCTCTGCCCACAGGGCTGGGGCTGTGGCACTGCAGGTGACCACATGTCACCCCACCAGCATCACCAGAGCAGCAGAGCCATTCCAGCTCCCACCACCACAAACTTGGGCTGGAACAGGCCTCAGCTGGCTCTCTAGCTCATCCTCTAAGCAGGGCTAGAAGAGAAGCTGCAAAAGTCTATCTGCTGCTGAGGGTGAAGGGGCCAACAGCAGCAACACTATGAGAGCTTTCAGTATTTCTGCTTGTAGCAGCCCCCCATGCTCTGTGCAGGAGTCACAGCAGTCACCATCCTAACCCTCGCCCTCAGCTAACTCTTCTTTGTGTGGGGAAAATATATAATATACATATAAAAATTGAGTTTAGCCCCATGGCACTACAGCAAGTTATAAATGAAGCCGCAGCCTGTGACTCACACGGCACAAGCGAGAACGTGTTCACACACCCGAAGGAGGTCCCACACTGCAGGGTGAAGGAGGTCCCACACTGCAGGGTGAAGGAGGTCCCACACTGCAGGGTGAAGGAGGTCCCACACTGCAGGGTGAAGGAGGTCCCACACTGCAGGGTGAAGGAGGTCCCACACTGCAGGGTGAAGGAGGTCCCACACTGCAGGGTGAAGGAGGTCCCACACTGCAGGGTGAAGGAGGTCCCACACTGCAGGGTGAAGGAGGTCCCACACTGCAGGGTGAAGGAGGTCCCACACTGCAGGGTGAAGGAGGTCCCACACTGCAGGGTGAAGGAGGTCCCACACTGCAGGGTGAAGGAGGTCCCACACTGCAGGGTGAAGGAGGTCCCACACTGCAGGGTGAAGGAGGTCCCACACTGCAGGGTGAAGGAGGTCCCACACTGCAGGGTGAAGGAGGTCCCACACTGCAGGGTGAAGGAGGTCCCACACTGCAGGGTGAAGGAGGTCCCACACTGCAGGGTGAAGGAGGTCCCACACTGCAGGGTGGAGGAGGTCCCACACTGCAGGGTGAAGGAGGTCCCACACTGCAGGGTGAAGGAGGTCCCACACTGCAGGGTGAAGGAGGTCCCACACTGCAGGGTGAAGGAGGTCCCACACTGCAGGGAAAGGACGTTCTCCCATTTTTCTACCCCACCACTCTCTTCAGAGCCTTGCAACAACTATCAGCTCCCTGCATGCAACCTGTCCAGCACTGGGAGCTGCGGGCTCCTCCTGGGTTTTTTAACCCAGCCCCAGAGGAGGCAGTGCACCTCTGAAGCCTGAGGGACGATGGGCTGACTGCTCCTCCTTCAGCAAGGGGCAGACAGAGAAGTGGCACAACACACATCTTCCAGGATTTCCAGCCTGTCAGTCAACAGGAGCCCGAGCAATGGCAAAGGAAAAGCCTCCTCTGAGCTGGCCCTTCGCCGGTTCCTGCACAGGGAACGGAGCAGATGGAGAAGCAAAGGACAGCAGTGAATAATTAAGGCAAAACCCTTTCTCTGAAAACTCCTTCCACAGCAAACCGTGGACGGGAGGAGCCAGCCTGAGCTCAGCCAGAGCCCTCCTTGCTGCCACCCTCGCTGCACGGCGTGACCTTGCTCCTGGCCCCAGCCCAGGCAGGACCCGGGGCAGGGCAGGCTCCACAGAGAGCATCCCAATTAGGAGTTTGAAGCAATCTGAATTTATAATTGGCTGCGATTTTACTCGGCAGATAATGTGCTGCTGTCCAAGGCGCTTGCTTTATCTAGGTCAAGCCATTAGTTTTGCTCTTAATCTACATACATTTTTCATTTGATCTCTAATGTGGAGCTTTAGCCAGCAAGCCGAGCTGATGGACTGACTGCAGCCAACATCTCGACCCTCCCTGACCATGCAGAGAGGGAACCAGCACCAAAATCCCAATGCACTTTGCTCTCAGCCACACACCAGGAGTGCCCACGCTGCCCATGGGGATGGGGGAGCAGAGGCCAATGCCAGCGATGAGCAGGCCTGGCCTCTGCTGCACCACCCCAAGAAGGGCTCACAAGGTGGCAGGACAGCTAGTCCATGGCTGAACAAGGACATGCTGAGCAGCACACTCCCCACAAGACACTCTCAGACAGCACCCCAGGACCTCTGGAAGCTCAGGCTGGGGGGTTTGTTCCTCCATCCTAACATCAGAGAAAACTTTCCTGTGAGTGTGCCAGGGCCTGGACCAGGCTGCCCAGAGGAGCTGTGGAATATCCTCATCCAGAGGGATTCCAAACCCACCCAGACACGATCCTGGGCAACGTTCTCTGGGTGACCCTGCTGAGTGGGGCCAGATAAGGTCACCTCCAGAGGTCCCTTCTGACCCCTGCCATGCTGTGACTCTGGCCAGCTGGACACAGAGATGTGCCCGCTCCCTCCTGCCAGGGCAAACGCTACTGCCAACGCCACCCTGCCTGGCGAGGGAGGAGGGAAGCAGCACTTCTCCCCCCACCCAGTGCAGCTCTAAGTGGGTAGCAGGCGGCAGCAAAGCTGAAGCACTTCTGGTGGAAGGGACGTGCCTGGTGGCACAGGATCACCCAGCAACGACTCGGACCAGAGCCCAGTGCCAGGGGAACGCCACGCTCAGATAGGCCACAGCTAGCAAATGCCAAAACCTTGAAGCAAGCAGAAAACAGATGGAAATCCCACCGCTCACGAGCATCCCACCTCTCCCTCACCCTCCCCTCAGACCCCTCTCTCACCAGGTACTTGCCCTGGGGTGGGCAGGTGGCTACCCCCACTCACCACATCGCCCGTGGCTCTCCGAGCACAGCGCTGGGAAACAGCTGCTCCCCCATGAAGCACCTTTCTACCCAAAGAGCTGGTTTTCCTTTCCCTCATGGTCTCTGTCACCAATGACCCTTGACATAGATCCTTGCCAGGGAGACCTGAAGCTGCTGCAGGGATCCCGGGAATCTGCAGGGATCAGCTTTGGGAAGCTCCCGGACACAGTCCCATGGCACGTGGGAGACATCAGCACTTTGACCTGCTCCCTGTACCCCTGGCACCCCAGGCAGTCCCATCCTGAACTCAGATGCTCCCAACCCAGGCTCCCACCTCACAGCCAGGACCAGGCTGCGAGTCCCAGCAAAGGGGAGGGGAGCCAGGAAAAACCTCTGTCCATCTTAAAAACAGATGGATGCTTGCACTGCAGAAAACCAGTGTTGAGGGCTGAAAAGCCCCGTGTTTTACGCTGCACTGCCAGCACCCCTGGTGTTTGCACCACGCTGGCAGTGGCTGTTGGAGCTGGCAGGCAGCAGCTGATGTCCGAGGTGAAGCACACGGAGCTGCTTTTATGGATGAGCCAACTCGTGGGCTTGAAAGAACTGGACGCAGAATTAAGTGCTGGCAAAGAGCAGCATAACCAGAGCAAGAGTTACCTTTACCTAGAGCAGCGGGCACTGTGTGAGCAGCCACAGGGCAGGGCCAAAACCTCAGCCCAGTGATGCTCACGACAGATTTAGTGCAGCTCAGGGAAACCGCTCACGCTTCCCTGCTTCTGCAGAACACAAACAAGTGGAGTTGGAGAGGCACACAATAAAAAGCCAAACTCTGCATTAAAGGGATTAAAGCTGGTTCCTGAAGCACCTAGAGGTGTGTAATCCAGTACAGAGAGATCCCTGCAGAGCTCCATGGCAGAGCCACGCTGCCAGCACACGCTGGAGATCCCTGGTGTGAAACAGGCTCGGAGGGGAAGGGCAGCACTGGGCGATGCTCTAGGGTTTAGACACAACACTGGTTTTCAGGCATTCAGCTCTTCTAAAGAGAGGGGGAAAAAAAATCCCCACCAAAGACTTCTGTGGAAAGCACAGCTCCTTTGACAGAATCAAGTTACTCAGTTCAAATCCAAATTTTCCCCTCAAAAAAGCAACTTGAAAGGCATTTCCAGCTCGCACTAGCTACAGGATCAAAGCTGGAGATTAAGAGCAATCGCTCGCTGCTCAACACCCAAGTGAACGGATCTTTGAGAGGGGGCTGGCTGCAACGTCACTCACCGTGTGGAGCAACAGCCCACTGGGAGAGAGGAGCAGGCAGAGCCTGCCGTGGGGCACGGGCAGAGCCTGCCATGGGGCACGGGCACGGGCAGAGCCTGCCGTGGGGCACGGGGGGATCTGGGCTCCATCAGCCGCGGGTGCCTGGACAGCAGCACACACCAGCATCCCCAGCCCAGCCCGTTTTTAATGATTTCAGGCATTTCAGAGACTGGCAAGGATTTGCAGTCCTGCCAGCGAGCACATGGGGGTCTGTCCAGAACTCTGGCTGTACGAGGAAGGCGACACAAAGCACTAACGCAAATATTGACCTGGCTGGCGAAGCCGGGCATCGACCCCACGCAGCTCCTGTAGGGGAGGGACAGCACCAGGAAAAAAGTAAACCCAAAAAAGCCTGAACCAATGCACAGCCAGAGACAGGGATGATGATGATGACGACACACGTCACCAAGGTCCCCGCGGGACCTGGCCCCCGGGAGAAGCCACACCTGACCCACGGCCCTCCCCGGCTGCCTGCTGATCTGCTCTGGCTCCTGATGAACAGGGAGCTGGGCCCGATGAATAGCCCAGAAAGAATGTTCCTAGCAGAGGATAGATCCCTCCTCATCCAACTTTACTTAAGATTGTTATTTAAAATGAAAAAAAAAAAAAGGTGTTCTGGTAACTTGCAACATTTGGTTTGGCTGGGGGAAGAAGCGATTTATGTTGTCAAGGGTTTTTGTCTTCAGAGGAGCTTGCCTGGCCAGCTGACACCGGCTGGATTAGGGGGAAAAAACATGAAAATAGTTTTAATTTCTATCCTTGAGTTTTACTGCGTGCAAACTTTCATGGTCATTTCTTTCTAAGGTTTCCAATTTGCTAATTGAGACATTTCCTCATGGAAAAAGAATGTCCTGGATGAAGGACGGGGCTGCTGGCGCCGCTCCGCACACCGGGGAGAGCTTAGGTGAGGCGGGATGCACAGACCACGCAGGCACCTCGAGGTCTGAAGGCAAACAGCAGCCCCCACGGACCCGGTGGGCACCCACCGGCCCTGGCACTGCCTGGCAGCGGGCACCGGGAGGCAGAGCCCGTGGCTGGGAGGTGGCAGGAGCCAGGAACAGAGCCCAGGACACCCTACGGCGTGCTGCAGATGTGCACGTCACACCCCCGGGCACCTCACATCGGGCTGGGGAGCAGGGCAGGTGGGAAACCAGCCCAGGAAAATGGACATCCAGAAAGATTTCTTTCCAGGCATCAGTTTGGTTAAAAAAAAGGATAAAAATACTCTGACCTGCAGATAAAACCCCAGCCTTCTCTGTTTTTCCTAGGTTGACAGAAGCATTTCTTCTGCCCTTAAACACAAGAGCAGACAGATCGATTTTGTTCAAAACATTAACAAGACAAAGAGCCAAGAAAATCACTTTTGGGTCAGAACAAGCCTACAACATTAAGTGAGAAAGGACCAAGGAAGCAGGAGCTGGGAGCAGATGAGGAGAGTTGTGACAGGGATATTGCTGCAGCCACAGTCACAGCCACACCAGCGTGGGCTCTGCTGGGACCGGCCGTATTTTCTCTAATATTAAAAAAAGAGGAATTAAAAGCATTTTGCAGACTCATGTGGAATGCACAGGGGACGGAGAGGGATCTCTAGCTTTATATAGGTCAAACATCATCCGTATGGGTTCACATAATGTTCAGTACAACCACAGCCACCGCATAAAAATTAAGCTTCAAAGTACCCCACAGGGATCCCTGGAAGTTTTCTCTCTCCTACCTGAAGAGCAGCAGAACAGTAACTCAGCTCAGATCAATCTGTGCTACAAGTGAAAGGGGATGGAGAATGATTATCTGTTTCTGCCACTCCAGCTTGGGGGAATGAGGACGGAAATGTGGCCTCTCGTAGAGATGAGGCTCCCCATGAAGGGAGCTCCCAGTGCTGGATGTGCTGGTCTCAGCAGAAGGGAGACACCAAAATCCAGATCCTGGTCAGTCTCCAGCCACCACCTCTGCCAGACAGCACCACCCCTTGGCACGGTCCCTCTGGGAGGCACAAAACACCACCCAAAGAGCTGAAGTGCTGAGATCCTGAGGGAGCACCAAGGACAGAGACGTTTGGGGCACTTGGGAAGCAGAGGGGAGCTCCATCATTGCCCCCTAAAACCACAGAAGGATTTGGGTGGGGAGAGACCTTTGAAAACCATCCAGTCCAACCCCCTGCAGGGAGCAGGGACATCTCCAACCAGAGCAGGGTGCTCAGAGCCCCAGCCAACCTCCCCTGGGATGGTTCCAGGGAGGGGGCATCCACAGCTTCTCTGGGCAGCCTGGGCCAGGGGCTCACTCTCCTCATTGTAAAGGGTCATCTTGTTATTCCCACCTACACCTCCCTCTTTCAGTTTAAAACTGTTGCCCCTTGTCCTGTCACTACAGGCCCTGGTAAAGAGTCTCTTTCAACCCTTTGTTATATATTGAACATCTCCCTGGAGCCTTCTCTCCTCCGGGCTGAACAAGCCCAACGCTCAGCCTGGCCTCCCAGCAGAGGGATCCCAGCCCTCACATCATCTCCGTGGCTTCCTCTGGACCTGCTGCAACAGGCTGACATCCTCCTTGTGCTGGAAAACTCCAGAGCTAACCCAGCACCGCAGGGGGGTCTCACCAGAGCAGAGCAGAGGGGGAGAACCCCCTCCCTCGACCTGCTGGAGGTGCACCCAGGACCACTGTTGGCTTTCTGGCTGCAAGTGCACATGGCCAGCTGGCAGCTTTTTTACCCCACCCTCATCCCCACGTCCTTCTCCGCCGGACTGCTCCCAACCCATTTATCACCATTTCTTCCCAGAGCCAGGCCCCCTCCTCTCTAATCATGGAAAAGTGCTGAGCAAGCTGTCCCAAGAAGGACACAGAAGCTACTCCCCAGAGCAATTCTCAGGGCACAGCAGTGCTCAGGCACAGGTAAACCCTGCAAGGGTTTCTTTATGGAGGGCTCCCACACTTGGCAGACCACAGGCTGGAAGCCTGCAGAGCAGCTTTCCAAAAGCAAATGCCCACAGCCCAACTAGTCCTGCTCCCATTCTCAGAGGGCTGGACAGGCACAGCCTGAGCTCAGCAGCCTCAGGGAATCCTGCTCACAGGTACCCCAGGCCACTCACAGCCACCCCAGGGGCAAGTCACGCTCATGGGGCAACAGCCAAAAGGCACCTCAGAGCCTGATGATGCTCTGTCACCTGTCCCTTTGGGGAGAAGTCCCAGTGCCTGAGCTTGGCACAGACACACCAGCAGGAGACAAATACAACAGCAAAGACTTGGCTCTAATTGTGCAAGAGAGATCCAGCTCAGCCTCCCGACACCGTGGCCCTGGAGGTCCTGCAGCCCACACACCATGCAGGAGGTGGTTGGCTTAAACAAGAGGAGCCACGTGGGGCATCCAGAACAAGCTTCTGCCCTGGCAGCCGCCCCCCAGCAAACGCCAGCCCCTAGAGAGGGCCCGGCCGGGGGCTGCCCAGCCACGCCGGGCACTTACCTTCAGCTTCTCGAAGCGATCGCTGAGCGACGCCACTTGGTGGTCCCGGTGGCGGCCCACCAGCTTGCATAAGGCACAGATGAGCTGGTCGTCAGCGACACAGTACATGTTCACCTTCTCGTTCTCGTGCTCCAGGCACGTCAGTCCCCGGAAGTGCGCGTCGGGCACGGGCTCCACCAGGCGGTGGCTGGTGAAGGGCTTCTTGTTGGGGTGTGTGGCCCGCAGGCAGCGGTCGCAGTAGGACACCTCGCAGGTGATGCAGGTCTTGACGGCGTCGCGGGGCGGGTCCTGCTCGCAGAACTGGCAGGCGATGCGCTCGCCGGGCACCGACATGGTGGGGCTCTGGCGGTACGTCCTCTCGCGGCGGCTCTCGCTGGGGGAGTTGGGGCCGCTCAGGGAGGCCTTCTGGAAGCGGTCGATGATGTTCTGCAGGGTCACATTCCTCTTGAGGCCCTCCAGGCCCCGGTGGTTGAGGGAGATGACATAGCGGCACGTGGGGCACTGGAAGGCGGTGAGGGGCTCGATGGACTCGCCGGAGGAGCAGCTGGACACCAGGATGCGGTGGGCGCAGCTGAAGCAGAGGCTGTGGGCGCACGGCAGCAGGAGAGGGTCTTCAAATAACTCCAGGCAGATTGGGCAGGTCAATTCTGACTCCAGTGTTTCCATCTTTAATTAAAACGATCCTGATTCAGCATCCAAATCCAGGGAAGGTGGTCTGGTACCTGCGAGAGAGGGAAGCAGAGACGTGAGACAGCTCCCCTCCAGCAGGAGCAGGCGCCGGGGGCAGCCGGACACGTCACCTCTGCAGCACCCTGTGCAGAACCCTGTGCGCCCCGACGGCGTCGCTGCAGCCGGGCCAGGCTCCCGACAGCTCATCAGCGTGGCTGGAGCATCTCACCACACCGTCCACTTAAGCCAAGCCACCAGCCCGGCCCAGCACCCAGGGACACTGTGAGGCAGGAGAGCCCTTCAGAGGGGAATGGAGAAGAGGCAGCAGCAAGCTCCTCTCCATCACAGCCAAGGAAGAGGACTTGGGCAGCAAGGCTGAAGACAAAACCAGGAGAAACCACACAATTTCATGTTTCTTTTAGCAAGCGCTGCCCAGGACAGGAGTGGGAAGCTGTCCTGGTTTCCACGTGTAAAGACTCTGCTGCACAGCAAAGCTAAACCTTGAAAACATCCCCTCTAGCTGCTACACAGTCCTCTCTCTCTTTGGTGAAGGGGAAAAGGTGAATCATGTCCTGGAAACTCCGAGCAAAGTGGGCTGGGAGCCCCAGCGTGCCGTCCCCCCGCCCTGCGTTCCTCCCAGCCAGGAACGGGGTGGGGAAGGAAGAACAGCAAAATTACAGTCTGCAAACTTCGTCTCTCAGCTGTCCTCTGCTGCACTCCAGCAACAGCAGCCAGGGATGCCCAGATCAGCTCCAGCTGGAGGCAGACAGGCTCGTATTTTTAGATCTCCTCCCCTGCACGAGGCTGGTGACGGGCTCCCAGCAAGCGACCGAACCTCCTGCCGCAGTTTCCAAGCTCCGGCTTTGCGGAGCACCAAGTCGTACCACAAGTCTCCTTCTCTTTTTCAAGCCCAAAGACCCAAAGTACATTCCTCTCTCCAGCCCACATCCCAGCAGCCTTCACCGGGAGCAAGGCTGTGGTTGTGAGTTCAGCTGAAGTCAGGAAGAGACACACAGGAACAACGGTCACCCGGGGGAGACCCGGATCCAACGGCCCTGGCTGCCTCGGTTGTTCCATCCCCATTGCAGGTCACTGTCCCTGTCCCATCACAGACCAGCCTCTGTCGATGACAGCTCCCAGGTCCCAGGCTCAGCTACAGGCCCCGCAAGCCCTCAGCCACCCGCAGAGTGTTTCTCACCTTCCCCCCTCGCCAGCAGCGCTGGGGCTCTCACAGCCCCCTCCCGTTAGCCGGGGGTATGAGTTCAGGCTTTGTGTGGTGGACGCTTGGCCGGGTCTGAGAGCCAAGCACAGCTCTGCTGCCTACAGCCACCCAAAGCCACACCTGGGCAGCACAGCCTCAGGCCATGCCCATGCCCTTTCACTGCACCCTGTTAAGAGCATCGGGAGATGTGAGTGGGCCCCGCTTGAGGACAACTGCCCATCCCACTGCTCGCTGGGCTGGCAGCAGGGCCCTTTTGCACCTTCTCCCACCAGAGATGTGCAGGAGCAGAGCCTCCCCCTGCCATCTGCAGCATTCCCAGTCCTTCCCGAGGTTGGCTCCAGCCTCATCAGTAAGCAGTGCTGGCAGGTGTCCCCAACCCAATGGCAACCCCGGGTGGGTGCTGCTGCCAGCCCCTGCAAACAGCAAACCACACCAGTGCCCTGCTGGGACCTGCCTGTGCCCACCCCAACCACTGCACCAGCTCCTCCCAGCTGCCTGGAATCGGATCTGCAAGTGCCTGGAGGAGACCTTGAGCTCTTCCCTGCACCAGCTCAAGGGGCTTATAAAATTAAGCAATTGGATATTTAGGTATGTTAATGCTGCAGCAACCTTATCAGGCCTGGCACACAGACACAGAGTTTTACATTATTTCCCTGCATCCCTTCACCCCAGGAGAGACAGTGGAAAAGCAGCTGGGTCCACAAGAGCCCAGGAGCTCAAAGGCTCCCAGCAGCTTCCTCTGTGGCCCCTGGTGCTTTTCTCAGCCTCAGAGCCCGTCCTGGCCCTGGGAAAGCTGCAGGGAGGAAGCGCTGCTGGCCGCCCGCCCGGCAGCTCCGCGTGCTCCCACCGAGCCTGGCAGGACTGGGCTT